TTTTTTCTTTTTTTTTCTTTCAGGTGCAAGTTCAAGGATATGTCCAAAGTAATGCTGATGACAGATTATGTAAATGATAAAGGATGTCTGAGTTTAGAATAAAGTATTGTTCTTAGTGTATATAAAATCTGAACTGTATTGATATACAAATGGAAACATTACCTACTTTTGTAAGGCTTTCTGGCACTAAATATATCCATAGTTTAATACCTTATGGAAGTATGTTTTTTATTTGAACATGGGATTTGCCATAAGACTATTCATTTTGTTTTATAACATGTCCATCAGTAGAAAGTTCAAGGAAAAATAGTAACCTTTCTTTTTGATAAATCTATGACAGGAATATTTTTTAGTCAGTAGGTTATAAGAAAAAATAAGGGTTTCAGTTAAAAGAAATTTTATTGCAAAATTTAGAATTATGTATCAGGTCATTGTCTTATGATGTAAATGCCATGCTGTACCAAAATTTGACAGCAGAGCTGAAACTGCATGCACAAATACCAGATATGTAGGTATTATTCAGGTTGAAATATCAGCTGAAATAACAATGGTTATTAAATGAATAGTAATTTTTTTTTTTATTAGTATTGTATTAATGTTATTATATTATTTTTACTATTTATTGTTATCATTATTTTTGTAATTATTATTATTATTATCATTAATAATTATTAGTCTTTCCCACATTTATGGCATTACGGCACTGGTTGCAATATTAAAAAGGTAGCAAGACTTGAACATATTCTAGCTTGGCACACCAGTAATGATAATTAACTCAGTTATAAAACCAAGGCCATGGTAAAATCTGCTATTTAACCCCTTGTCTGGAGGTTTTAAACTGTCTACTGTAGTTTGTGAATTTCATTGCACACAGATGGCTCCACAGGTGCTCAGCCTCCAACGAGTCAGTTAGTAGGCTCTAATGACTGTGCCTGATTTCCCCATCCGTCGAATTTGCAGGAGGAAAGTGATTTTTTCTAGTGTGTTGATATCTATACTGTTATCATTGTTATTGACATTATGGTTAATATAATGTTATGAAAATACTAATAACAATAAAAATAATAGAATAAGAAAAAAATATCTTGGCAAATATCAAGGAAAATTATAAACAGTTTGAGATAGGTAGGACAATATTTGACTCCTTGGTGACTAAGCAGTTATGTAGCCTTCTCTATGTAAACAATTTACAAATTAAGATAACAGTGGACATGACTTGTGTTCATGCTCTTCATAGTAATTTGATTTAATGTACCAAGATGTGATCATATTTGATAATCAAGAATATCTACATTGCAGAGATAAAGCCATTTTTAGGGTTATTCAAGAGTTTACTCCAACTACAATATCTGGGTCCCTGTGCCTAAGATTCAGCTATAAAGTATTGGTAATATATTAGGCAAAACCCTTTTCTTGTTAATTTTATAATAAACATGAATAATATATTGGTATGTTTTCCCCTCTGAAAATAAGATTTCCTCATCATTTGAATGGTAAAACCTCAATCATATGATTATAATTTCCTGGTGTTATGGTAATTCCTTACATGTTAATGTAAAAGTTCAGCTAGCAGTTTCCGTATTTGGGTATATATTCATGCCATCCCTCACCAGGCGAAGTCTACAAGCAGTGCTGATGTTGGTCAAGACTAGATAAAATTCAGCTTCACTCCTGACATCATTTTTTACCCTTTTAAGAAAATAGCAGGTGTGCATTCTTCCAATATGTCTGTATAATTTTGTTGAATGCTTTTTCAGAGTACCATTTAATTTATCTTAAATTACTAAGAACTTAGATTTAACCCATTAATGCTAGGAGGTCTTGTGTAAATATATCCAGCCCATTAATTTTACTTTATTTATTTTGTTAACACAAAATGGTCCTAGAAGTACCTAGTCATCAAGGACTAAATACTACTACCAGCTTTCCTATGTTTACTTCATCACTTGAGTTTTCAGAAAAAAAGTTTTTACTTTCATCACTATTAATACCATTAAAAATGTTGTTATATGTTGCTAATAACAATGTTTATAATGACAATTGTTTTATAAGTATATAATAATAAAGGGTGGGAACCATTTGTATAGAAAAATAATGATTCAGAACAGGAACAACAATTGTCCTCAATAAGACAGTATTCAGCTATGGCTCTTGGTACTGCACCTCACCTCAGCAAAAATTATTCCAATATCTAAACTTGTATTCATATTACAAAGTGAAGCATAGAGTTTGTACCAAATATTTAAGATGTCTGCAAACATTAACTAGTCAGAATATACTTGGCAGGAAATCATTAGCCTTTACTGCAACATTGCTAAAATCATTGTTGGGAAACTATTTAAAGGCTGATTGTGCTATTAAATTTCAATTTACAAATTGATTTAAATAGCATTAATTGTTATTTCTGTAATATCTGAAACACAGAAGTGTTTATTTTTCAGTGTCTTAGTGTTGCATTCCTCTATTCAACTGACCACAAAGGCAGCCAGCACTGGTGATGGCTTGATTGGCTGCCCGCTCCAGTACCCTGCTCGTTGTTGTCGTGGGGGTGCTTAGTAGACGGAGGCTCAAGGTAGGGGTGATCCCCTACATTGTGCCTCAGCCCTCACCTCAACCTATTTTTCATGGTCTTTTCTCCTCCTTTCCTCTTCCATATCTTCTTTATCCCCTTCTGTCCCATTTCTAAGGTGTGAGAGCCGTGCTGAAAGGATGAAAGGCTGGCATTGTTTCAGTCATGAACAGTCTCCAGGAGCCATGGGCATGGTATTCCCTTGGTTAATTGCCTAGCCCTTACCTTGTATGGGGACCCTGAGGAGTAAACTGTTTCTTTTCCCCATTTTATTCAGGCTCACCATGGCCAATAGTGAAGACTGTTTACCCTTATTAGGAGCATTAAGGCTTGCCCTTACATCAACTAGCCTATCTTAATTCAATTTCGATGGTTTTCCAACCCCTGCCCCACTTTTGACCATGGCTCTGACCACTGATACTAATACCCCGTCCTTGACGGTCACTGACAACTGTATCCATTCTAAACCACCTACCTAGGTCATTACTCAAGCATCATTTCCTCTCTCCCAACTTTCTCCTCTCCTACTGCACAGTCTTCTTCAAAGTCTACCCCTTCTTCCCATATTACTACTCTTCATCCTTATTGTCCTCCCCCTCACAGAACTACTCCACTTCACCACCCCATCTTCCTCTTGCCCTCGTCCTTCTACTGCCTCCATCTCTGCAATCCTTTTGAGAACTTCCTTTGGCCCAGCCAAGTTGTATTGATTCTTTGTGATTCCCCCCACAACCTCTTCCTCTGAAATTACCCTTCTTTTTCGTGTCTCCAAAAACAAGTAGGTAAAGTTTCCTTTCGCAGCCATACTGATCATTCACACCTTGTCAGTTATATCTGAATTCTAGGCTTCTGCACTATCTACCCTAACTGACCTCACTGGCAAACCCATTCCTACTGAACCTCACCCCTCTCTTAATACCTGTAGTGGATTTGTTTCTGTTTCTCCAACTGCTTTTCCTATCCACAACAAGAACTGGTCAGACTGTGAAAGTGACTTACTTACCTGCCTTGTTGATTACAATGCAGTGTTAGTACAGTGATACACTATTTCTCCCAGTATAAGTCCCATACCAATATTGCCAAGATTAGCTTCCGTAGACACAACCTCCACCATGAAGTTTACATTGGTGGAGTGTACAACCATATTGACCCATTCCCCATCAATATCAGAAATGTTGGCATTTTGGCCACACAACCAGACACTCTCGCTCCACAGTCTGCAGCCCTCTATGTGCTCAACCTCGTCATGAACATTCAAATTATCCTGCTCAGTCATGTACATGTGCCAATTGTTGTGGCTCCCATAATGTATTTTATAGGAGTTGCAGTGCCTATAAGCTTGTATGTGAGGTAGCAGTTCTCACATTCAAACTAGGCCTCACCCTCCATGAGGCAAGACAGGAAGCAAGGCGACAAGGTTTTTCTCTTTCTTTTTTCCTAAACAGTCTTTCACTGCTCGTCTCTCATCTTCTCAAGATGTCTCAGCATCTCCCACAGTATCTTTACCTCAGACCATCCAAGCTCTGCTCCCCCTATCCCCCAGTCAAATTCTTTTTCCAGTCTAAATCCAGATACTCCATTCTACCACTTCCTTGATACCTACCCCTTCTCACTTTACTTCTCATGCCAGGCAACCTAAAATTTCTACTTCACCTCTTACCACATCCTCTCCTACATCTTCTTCTTCCTCTGCTCCTCAGATATCTATCCCCTCTCCTCCTCCTCCTAAGAGAACCTTTGTTTCTTAGTCTTCTTCACCCAACTCGTATTCAGAAACTGGAAGACATCCAAAACTTCCTAAACATGACCCAAGGGAATACTCTACTCCCTCATCCACCCTCCAATCCCTCTGTTCCCATTCCTACATTTAAAGTATTTGCTGATATCCATCCTCCTCCTCAAGTACCCCCACCAACCTTCTACCGCTCCCACCTGAATGCTCACATGAATCACTTCTGTCACAACAGTGTTCCAGTCCCCTCCCCTCTTGATACTTTTTCTGATACTTCACCACATTCCCCAGTCCCCATTTCTCTTCTCCTGGATTCTTCTACTCGTACTAATGCTCCTACTTCTCCCACAGCTATATCTGTTTTCCTTGAGCAAATTCCTTATTTCTTCCCATCACAGTTATAATGCAATTCACTCAATCACCCTACCCTCTCAACCCTTCCCCTTTTACTAATCTCTGCTCTACTTCATTTGCTCTTCCCTCTTCACTCCCATACTGTCCTCCAATGTACTCCAATCTTTGACATCTAACACATTTTATCTTTATCTTTAACTCTTCTTTACCCTTTTGTTGTCAATACTATCATTGTTGATATCATCATCATCATTGTTAATAATGTTATCCTTATTATCTGGAAAAAGTATACACCAGTAGACAGCAGGATTTATTATTTTTCAACATTTTTAATAACTTTCTTTT